GGGCCCAGGGAGGCTCCTCTGAGGGGCCTTTGGGCAGCAGCGTCCCCAGAGCCGCCCCCCGCGGCCGGGAAACGCGTTTCTGGTCAGCAGTTGTGTTGGAGGGGGAGGGAGGGTTTCACCTGGGCTCGGCGGGGGCCGCTGGAGGGTGAGACACGGTTAGAGAGGCTCTCAGGATCTTGGCCCTTGCTTGGTTACCTGGCCGTGGTACAGAATCGCTATTGAGTGCGACTTCGGCGTTTTAAAAATAGATAGTCCTGATCATTCTTGCGGGTTTTATAGTTTAGTGTTGAAAGACATTGGTAACTGATTAGGTTTACTGTAGTCATGTCAGGATCAGCCCCCGAGGAGCCTCAGACCTCCGTCCCTCAGAGCACAGCTACTGTTCCTGATCCTGCTCCGGTTGCTGTCGGACCTGGAGGCTCAAGTGAAGTTTCCTTTGGTGAGCAAAATCTTAGCTTCACCACCACAGATGTCAGCCTAGTGGAGATGATGGAAATTGAGTACACCCAGCTGCAGCACATACTTTACTCACATACGGAGGCACGAGCTGGTGAAGGGGAAGTGGAAGCTAGGCTCAATTCTTTCTCCTTGACTGGTAGTTCTGCAGACCCCTCTCTGCACCTTAGCTCACAGAACACCAGTCAGGGGGAGTGTTCATCAAACGGCACTGGGAACCAGTCGGTTTACCCAGTTACCGGTCAGTCAGGATTTCCTTTGGACAGCAATGTGCAAAGTTCAAACCCCCGTTCGGGCTACACTGACTTTCAGGAGTTCAGAATGATGTTGCTTAGCGAGTCAAACCTCTCTTTGAACCAAACAGATAAAACACCTAACAGTAGCTCTGTAGAAGTCTCGGGACACAGTTTAGTAAAAGTTAAACATAGTGAAAATTTTATTGGGATGAATAAAGGAAGCGTACTAGCTGAAAATTTGGCACTGGCACCTGAGCCTAGATCTAAATCTGCAGTCAGAGTTCGGTTGGAAGACAGATTCAACAACATCCAGACTGAAAACCCCAGATGCCAAGAACCCCAAGAATCTGGAGTAACTCTTAACAAGTGCGTTGCAATTAATTTTAGTTTATGTTGTTAAAGTATGTATCATCATATAGTTCAAAACTGATTTTCTAAACCAAAGAACAGCACTTTCTCTAATACATGAGAATGATGGGTTGGGCTTTTTTTTCAACTCTGCTAAACGTGGCTGCGACTCCACTTGACCTCAGATTAGGCCTCTCTGTGTATTGCACAAATGCTACAGCATGTAGTTCCAAATTTAATTACAACTTTGTTCTTGATAACAACGTGTATGAGAGAAGGACATTACGTAGTTTTAACATGCAGCTTGCTAAAAGTAATGTAGATTTTTGATCATAACAAAATATTAAAAGCAATGGATCGATGTTACAATGTAGAGGCCTGACTGGTGAAAACCTTGAGCAAAACTGCTCTTTTACAAGCTGGCCCTGTAACTATAAGTGTGCTGATAAACGATTTTATTGAGGCATAAAGCTGAATTGTTACTGCACAGAAAAAAATACTGTATCAGCTGATTTTTTTTTTTGTCCTTGGAGTAGGCAATGTAGTGATAACAATGATTTCTGTTTACAGTAAATGAGTTTCAGAAGTGGTTTCTTGTTGATAGTTTCTAGAAGTATGTGTGCCTGTAAGTTTTTCTGTACTTGTTTTCAAGTAGTTACTCTGGTACATTTTCTGTGGGTTTTTTTTTCTTTTTTTTTTTTTTTTCTTTCTTAGTTTAGTAACACTGATGCGACAGCCGTCAGAACTGATAGGTGTTCCTCTTCATCAGCAAGAAAACAAGTGTGCTGTATTAGGGAAAAATAAGACTGTACCTGCCACTCCTACTTTACAGTTCACATGCCCCTTATTTACTGTGAATGCATGTTCTACTGCTGGAAGTGCTAATCCTTCACAAACACAGGTAGATAACGTATTCACCTCTGCTTGTACTCTGCTAATTCCAAATGCTCATGATGTTAACCTCTTAGGTGTGATATAATTCTACAGGTTTGTCTTAAAAGTGTGACTTGATTTGAATAGGGATGATCTGTAATGCAATTTACTTATGTTAGTCTTTAAGACTCCATCAAAAATACTCCAATGTGATATTTGTAGTAACATGCATCCAGGTAACGATCAGTGGCCATTAGATTTCTTACTAGAGAGATTTTTTCCTTGAGTTTATCAGTGTATCATCACCTTCATCTACACAAGAGAAGAAGAAGATAGTACCATTTTCTGTGGTTCCTGTTTTTCTAATTATTTTGATGAAAAAGCTTCCCCCCCCCCCCCCCCCCC